CCTCGGTGTTGCACCCGCACCTCGCTCAGCCAGTGAGCGGGAACCAGTCTGTATGTGGGATCCGAACCCTCGGCGGGAGCGCCGCCGCACTCCCAAGCGGCGCACTCTCCAGTGCACCACCGGGCCGGCCCATAGTGTCTGTTCTTTTATTGAGATTAGTGCTCTCTATTTTTGACTCTGCTTAGCAGTCTTTAGAGAGATCGCTGAGACTAATTTAAAAAAAAAAAACTGTTGGCCGGCCCGGTGGCGCACTGCTACAGTGCGCCGCTTGGGAGCGCGGTGGCACTCCCGCTGAGGGTTCGGATCCCACATACAGACTGGTTCCCGCTCACTGGCTGAGCGAGGTGCGGGTGCGACACCGAGGGTTGCGATCCCGTTGCTAGTCCCGGTCCGGTACGGGCGCAACACTGAGGGTTGCGATCTGTTGCCGGTCACAAAAAAAAAGACAAAAAGGAAAAAAAAAAAAAACTGTAAAAAGAAGAAAAAAAAAAAGCCTACTTAGAGCCCAAGGAAGTTGACTCCAGCCAAGTGAGGAGGAGAAATGTTACTCAGGGATATGGTGTCCAAGATTTGACTGCTTCTCAAGCATAGCTGTGTATAGAAAGGAAATAGGACTCGTCCAGAGTTCATTTGAAGAGCTGTGGAATGTGAGGAATGGAAGATTATAGATGAAAAAAGAAAAATCAGATTGATAGAGTTAGATTTTAATCATAAATTGAGGCAACCAAGTTTACCAGATTTTAGTAATCTGTAATATGTTCTATTATCCATCCTTTTGTTCCTTAAGATTTAAATTTTTGGGAGACATTGCACTATAAATGTAGTTGCAGTCTCACATTTTGATATAATATAAAATTTGTACTTATGCAAAGAAACAACATTAAAATCTCATTTGTTTTAACAGGGTGGAAGAATGAAAGAAAAGAGAGATGAAAGAATGTTGAACCACTTTGTTTGGCTGTATGATGGAAGGAAACGGAACTGAGAACTCCTGCAGTAGAACACTTGGATGGCTTCAACAAGATAATGATGCTAAGCCATGGCTTTGGAAATTTTCTAATTGCTTTTCTCGTTCTGAGCAGACGTTGCCACTTAGTCCCCAAACGGTAACTATGTACAAGACTAAGGACAGCAAATTCCTTATGCAAATAGATGAGAGGTTCATTTGGTTTGGGACACAGTCTCTCTCCCTGGAGTCTTTGCCAGGTTTTCCTGTATATCCTGCTTGTATTGTACCTTGGAGTATATTATGATTCCTAACTCAGTGAGAGAATAACTTTTTACCTACTGTATTCCACTCTAAGTATGGTAGATGCTTTAAATACTTAATGTTACAATTTGAGGAAGATTTGTTTCTCGTTAAAGTCACAGATTCCAAAGATAAAAATCCATGTTGTATAATAAAATCAGAGAAAAGTACAAAATAAATTGTATTTTACAGTAGCCTTCTGAGTTTTCAGTATTATAATCTAGGAAAGATTGACAAGACTTTATTGACAGTCTCTTTTTTGTTCAAGATTTCTCTTGAATATTTAAATACATCTCTAACTTCTTGCTTTACCTTTTCATAGTGATTTTGACATTTTCTGATTTGGTTTCATGCACTCATGTTACTACCTTTCTGTTTCTTTTTTTGTATTATACTTGGGATTCAAATGAGACTTTACTATAATTTTTTATAAGGGTATTAATAAAGTTTTTAAAAATCAATTTAATTCTCTGTCTTCTCTAGGTTTTACTATATAGTTGTCTTTTTTGGAAGGCCTCAAGTAATTTGGGTCATTTTGGAAGTGTTTTACTTTAGGGATAGTAGACAGTGAGGGTTGGCATCTCAAGCAGAGCTTCCCGGGATAGGATGATGGATCTAGCTGGTCTTCATGGAATCACACAGTTCAGAATTGCACTCTCACCTTTACAGATCCTGAAACTCAATTTTGTCAGTGGCATGCAGAATGGGGTAGGTTCAGGGGACCAGCTCACCATAACCATTCCCATAAAAGCCTGAAATATATAAATCAGAATGCCAGTATATTAATTTCTAGTCTGTACTGTAATTACCAAGAGGGCAGAACACACTGCTCATTGGCTGGTCAGCCCATTGTCACTACCTCCCTTTTAGGAAAGGTCTGATTGAAAATCCAGATTTTTCCCAGGTGAGTGTGGAATCACAGCAAAAGGAATGAAATTGTAGCAGTCATATGCACCCTTTTATGCTCTAAGGAATGATCATGTTTCTGTACTGTGTCAGGGCACCCTCTTTATCTTAATGGTTCTTGCAGTCAGTCCATAAGGCTATTGATTAGTTAGATCCCTTTTCAGTGGCCAGGTACTGTGCTAAGTGCTTTTTGTGTTTTATCTTCTTTTATCCTTTTAACAACTGTAGGATGTGCATTATATCATTCCTGATTTATGGATGAGGAAACCGAAGCATAGAGAGGTTAAGCAGTGTACCCCAGGTGATACAGCTATTGAGCATCAGATTCAAACCCAGGTCTCTGACAATAATGCCATGCTTATAACCTTTACTATATACCGGCCTCCTGTGTCTTTCTTGGAGTCATGTGACAAACTATTTGTCTTATATCTTTTTCCCAGATAGTTTTCTAATTGCTGTAATTCTTTTCACTGGCTACAATATAATTACTATTATGGCTTTAGGTCGTGATATGCTAGGGTTTGCTAAATGTCATCAACAACATGGATGGGCCATTTGGGTAGATGGTTGATTTCATACATCATGTTTGGAATCTTAAGTCTTCTATGGGGAACCTTACTGAAATCTCTTGTGGACTGACTGCAGAAACTATTAAGTGTTTTCTTTAAACTACTTTGCCAAATAAGCTATCTTTATTGAATCCTGTTTGTGACTGTTATTTACATTTCGCCTGTTTTGTCTTTAGAAGGTCCTGTCAGGCAAGGGGAAGTTTTCAAAGGGAAATCACTAAGACATAGATGGTTAACCTGGCTTGCTGAAGATGTAAACAGGCCCCTCCACCCAAGTCTCTGAAGATTCAGGAAGAACACAGTCTTAATTTTAGTTGTGTGTTTCACTGTCCACTTCCTGCAGACCTCTCTGAAGAATGCCCCTGGTTTTAGCTAGCTGCTATTCCATTTCGTTCAGTTATGATTGAGTGATATAAATGGAATTGAATACTATTTTTGTTTTTTAATGCACTAGGATATGAGTAACCAAAAATCACTGGCCTCATAAAATTAACTTGTGTTCTGATTTTCTTTTCTCAGAAAGAGTACATGGAGAACAAGAAAGTTGCTGTGGAATTAAAGGACGTACCATCTCCCCTTCATGCTGGCTCTAAACTTTTTCCAGCAGTCCCACTTCCTGATATTCATTCTCTTCAGCAACCTAAAATACAGCTTTTAACTGTCCCCAAAGTAAGCTGCTGTGCTCATTGCCCTAATGAACCCTCCACTTCGCCAATGCATCTTGGAGGTGGTGGTGGTGGTGGTGGTGGTGGTGGTAGTGGAGGTACTAGTAGCTTGATTCACACGGGCACACTGTTAGACTCGCAAAGCACCAGGACAATCACGTGTCAGGTAGGGTCAGGGTTTGCTTTCCAGTCTGCATCTTCACTCCAGAATGCCTCAGCTAGAAACAGTTTGGCAGGCATTGCAAGTGACTTTCCCAGCATGTGTCTAGAGAGTAATCTGTCTTCCTACAAACACCTGCCCTGTTGTGGAAAACTCCATTTCCAGTCATGTCATGGTAACATGCACAAGCTGCATCAGTTTCCGACTCTCCAGGGCTGCACCTCCGCTGGCTATTTCCCCTGTTCTGATTTCACAAGTGGGGCTCCGGGGCATTTGGAAGAGCACATTTCGCAGTCGGAGCTAACGCCTCACTTGTGCACCAACTCTTTGCACCTAAATGTGGTACCTCCGGTTTGTTTAAAGGGCTCACTTTACTGCGAAGACTGTCTAAACAAGGTTGGTATCTTTTCATATTTTATGTTGGATGCAGCTGAGGTTTGAGGAATGACTTTTTTGAAGTTGGTTTATCTTGAAAAGTCTTTATTGTGCATGGGGCTGATCCTTCTGTGGCGTAGGTCTCTCCCCATCAGCATAACTTCTGGTCCTGAAAGAAGCAAAGGGTAAAATAAAATGGGAGACCATTCAAAAAAAGTACAGAGTAATTATTTATGTAGTTTATGCTTTTAGAGCCTCTTTTTACAATAAATCTATTTCCTAGATGTAAACCTAGTTTGACAAAGCCTCAATGTTTTATTTTTATCTTTAAAGGCTAAAGCGCAATTTTAAAACTTAGGTTCAACTTGAACATGGGTTCATTCATGTAATATAGGTAACTGCATGTTGTCTTTTTGTAATAATATGGGGACCTTGAAACTTGGCTTCATTCACTCTAGTGTTCAAGGGAAGCCCTTACCACCCTTTATGCAGAGTGTGGGTGAGGTCTCCATTGCAGCAGACAGACATATGCCCCAGAATATAAAGGTCTGACTATGCGAATGTCTTCCCTGTTCATTTCAAGTCACTTCTTGGAAAGAGTTTATGAATTGATAGCTAATAGTTCTGGGAAAGATTATTTGGAAATACATTTATCAGAGGTTAGCAGGTGGAAAGGTGAAACACTTAGAATGTGTTTTTAGTTGTATATAACTCTAGGTTCTGAAATGATGTATCTGAAACCTCCTCTTTTTTTGAAAAAATTTTAAAACAGCCGGCAAGAAATAGTGTAATTGATGCTGCTAAAGTCTGGCCAAATATACCACCTCCAAATACTCAACCAGCACCTCTTGCTATCCCTCTGTGTAATGGCTGTGGAACCAAAGGAACAGGGAAGGAGACCGCATTGTTATTGGCGACCAGTCTAGGCAAAGCGGCTTCGAAATTTGGTAAATGACAGTATGGCCTAAAATGTGCATATTTAAATAGTTTTCACTATCTGGTACTAACATTGCATTTTAATCACCTTTAAAAGATTCCCTGTGGTTCTGAAGCTACCGTTTTCCATCCCTTTTTGTTATAGATCAATAGGTAATTTGCCCTTTATGTTGGAATGAGGCTGTTTGAGAGCAAAAGCTGTGTATACAAAAATCAGGACTATATTAGGAGAAATAAAGTGCTGGAAAAGACTTGGGGTCAAATTAGGTTCATAATCACATGTGTTGATTGTATACTCCCTAGAAGGATGCATTTAGTATTTAGAACGATTTAGTAAAGGCTGATTAAAAACAATATTTGGCAGATCCTAGAAGGATGCATTTAGTATTTAGAACGATTTAGTAAAGGCTGATTAAAAACAATATTTGGAAAGCTAAGAGTTCTCAATTACAATCATTTTCCCCAAAGGTAGTTAATGTGATGTTTTATCTTTTGAAAACATTTAAAAAGTGTTAAGTCAGATATTAATGCAGTGTTAAGAATATTTTAAAATCAACAACAGTAACAGCTTTACCCTGTGTTATCTCTTCAGTGTTCTTCCATGGGCAAGCATGAAAATCAGGTCCTGGAGCTTCTGCATCTATTTAGTTATATGTTAGTGCTCAGAGAAGACTCACTGTTCAACATGAGAATGGCTCATGTTTGAGATTGAATTTATTATGCGCTTTAAGTTACTTGACCTTCAGACTTGTTCACTCCTAAAACATAGGAATAATGTCTTAGAGTGATACAGTGGCAACTTGGTTGTTTATTAGGTCAACCTGTGAAGTTCGTATCCTTAAACTTAACATTGATCAGTAATTTAGTTTTTCTGCCCCTAAGAGTGATAACTAGCTGCCTATTATTTTAACTTGTCGTTTCTTTTTTACTGCATGTAATTGAAAGTATTAACATTTCTTAAGGGTCACCAGAAGTTGCAGTAGCTGGACAGGTGCTAGAAAATTTACCCCCCATCGGAGTTTTTTGGGATATTGAAAACTGCTCAGTCCCCTCTGGCCGGTCAGCTACTGCTGTTGTACAAAGAATCCGTGAGAAGTTTTTTAAGGGCCACAGAGAAGCAGAATTCATCTGTGTGTGTGACATCAGTAAAGAAAACAAAGAAGTTATTCAAGAGCTGAATAATTGCCAGGTAAAAAAAAAAAAATTTAAAGAATTTTAAGCCATGGTAGAAGAATAAGCACGTTTGTTTTAAAGAATTCTGATTCAAAATTTGATTAATGATACTGCAATTAAGCTGAGTTTTCAAGTAAAAATTAGCAAAACATTATTTCTAAAGTACTAGAAATCATTTAATCATGTTTGATCTTTCCATAATGCTACTTATACTTTAGTGCTATACTAGTATAATAATGACATATCTGCTGTTTCCTTTGATTATCATAACTGCTCTGTGAACCAGGCACATAGGATTTAGTATTTGCAATTTACAAATAAACTAAGACCCTAAGAGTGATGCAACTTTAAGATCACATGGCTAGTAAGTGGAAGAGCTAGGATTTAACTACTTGTTGTCTGACCCCAAAGTCTGTGTTCTTAAATGGGAACTAGAATCCAGGTCTTTTGACTCTTAGACAATTAATTCCATATGGCTGTCTAAAATTATATATTTATGTTCTTTACAAAAACTGATACATTCCTGTTGTGTATTGCATGTGGTTGAGGCACCTCCTAAAATACATCCTTCCTTGCTTTAGAGACAGTTATATGTGAGCCTGGTAGTTTTTAACAAGAATAAATGGATCTTAGCTCCCTTAGGGGCATACCCCCTCCTCTCTCTACCACCTAACTCCAAATCCTGAAAGCCACAGACAATGGGTAGCATAGACAAGTACCATAAAATACAACCTCAAACCTTTCTTTAATCCTTTATCCAATCTCTGCCACCTCCAAATTGTTGGCAAAAGCTATTAGAGCAAACTTAATGACTTCAAATATCACTTTTTTCTACTTATTTCTGAAAGGGGGATAAATGAAGTGCAAAAGCAGAAGATTGTAGATGAAAGTAGAGGTAACAACAGACCCAGCTAATTCATGTGGAGAACCAGTTCTGAAATTATTGAGATCTGGTTGTAATTTCTTTCCATTCCTAATAATAACAATAATAAAAGAGTTTCTTTCCTCAAGAATTATCTAGGACTGAATATGCGGCAGTTTTCTAACCTCAGCTCTTTCTCTTCACCATTTTTATAATTTAATACAGGTAACAGTCGCCCACATCAATGCTACTGCAAAGAACGCTGCTGATGATAAACTCCGACAGAGTCTCCGAAGGTTTGCAAATACTCACACTGCTCCAGCCACTGTGGTTCTTGTGTCAAGTAAGTGTAGAAACATCTGCTAATCTCAGCTAAACTCATTTTGTGGGAATTATGATAGAAGCCAGAAACATAAAGTGTGCCCCTAAAAAGTCTGAAACACAGGGCATTTTAAGTTTATTGTTGAGAACTATTTAGGAAAAAAATTGGGTCTATATGGATTTCTGTATTTTCTGTTTGGAACTTGAGTTCTTGTGGAGCCAGGTTTATGAAAGAAAATGTAGGGTTTTTTTGTTTTTTTTAACCCTGGACCCAACTGTTACTAATTTTTTTTTTTGTCTTTTTCCGTGTCCGGCAACGGATCGCAACCCTCAGTGTCGCCCCCACACCAGGCCGGGACCGGCAATGGGACCGCAACCCTCGGTGTTGCTCCCGTGCCTCGCTCAGCCAGTGAGCGGGAACCGGTCTGTATGTGGGATCCGAACCCTCGGGCGGGAGCGCCGCCGCGCTTCCCAAGCGGCGCACTATCCAGTGCGCGACCGGGCCGGCCCCCAACTGTTACTAATTTTTTTTTTTGTCTTTTTCCGTGTCCGGCAACGGATCGCAACCCTCAGTGTCGCCCCCACACCAGGCCGGGACCGGCAATGGGACCGCAACCCTCGGTGTTGCTCCCGTGCCTCGCTCAGCCAGTGAGCGGGAACCGGTCTGTATGTGGGATCCGAACCCTCGGGCGGGAGCGCCGCCGCGCTTCCCAAGCGGCGCACTATCCAGTGCGCGACCGGGCCGGCCCCCAACTGTTACTAATTTTTTTTTTTGTCTTTTTCCGTGTCCGGCAACGGATCGCAACCCTCAGTGTCGCCCCCACACCAGGCCGGGACCGGCAATGGGACCGCAACCCTCGGTGTTGCTCCCGTGCCTCGCTCAGCCAGTGAGCGGGAACCGGTCTGTATGTGGGATCCGAACCCTCGGGCGGGAGCGCCGCCGCGCTTCCCAAGCGGCGCACTATCCAGTGCGCCACCGGGCCGGCCCCCAACTGTTACTAATTTGAAAAATTGAAAATTTCCAAATTTGAGTCTCCCCAACATATTGATATATGCTCCCTTTTAATACTTGAAATAACATGTGTCTTGGAATTTAATATAAATATGTGGTAGAATTATCTTACCATGTTAATTCCTCTGATATGAAATGGGTTCTTGTTCTAAAAGTGGGGGGAAGCAGCTTTGAATATAATCCAGACATTTTTTTTTTTTTTTTTTTTTTTTTTTTTTTTTCAGGGGGTGTCAATAGTGTTGTCTGTCAAGTGTTTCTAATATTTGGGAATGGGGTTGGTCTGTACCTTTTCTTTCAGCTGATGTCAATTTTGCATTGGAACTTAGTGACCTGAGACACAGGCATGGTTTCCACATAATTTTGGTCCATAAAAACCAAGCCTCAGAAG